CCACAACGCCCGGCTGTTTTTTGGTTGCAGCCGTCATTGTTGTTTGGCGGGTCCGGGCTGGGGATTTGAACCCGCCACCTTAGGTGTACATGGCTGGCGCCCCAGCCGGTTGAGCTATAGGAGCCGAGCCTTTTTGTCTGTTTTTTAGTTGGGCTGTCTTTTTGAGTTGTTGGAGTTGTTATATATTCCAAACTTATTTTTAAAATAAAGAGAAAAGGCCATCTTGAAAATGGACTTAAAATTTAGTTCATGTATCATAGGATTTCCACAAAGATTAAATCCATAAAGATTAAAAGTTAATATACAAGAGGTGCTTAGCATGGTACTTGGCACCTAAATACTTAAAAAAAAAATTTTTTTTTTTTGCAGTTTTTGGCCACGACTGGGTTTGAACCTACCACCTTTGGTATATGGAGCTGGTGCCCTACTCCTCTGAGCCACAGGCACCAACCGATGTTATTTTTTGTCATTGCTACTACTAATAATATAAAGTGGGCAGCAGTAAAGTATTTTTCAGATTTGGAGATGCCTTTCTTTTGGGGGTTAGATCATATTTTGATTATCTTAGTAGCAATCAGTTGGAAATTTCATGTTAGTGAGAAACAAACTGGTCAAAGGTTTATACATCTCCCTCCAAAGGTTATATCCCATAGCCCACAGGCCACACATGTGGACTTTTTTGTTTATATGTGGTAGCAGATATCATGAAAATTATGTAAGACCCATTTTTTTGCTCATCAGCTTTTGTTAGTGTTTATATATTTAATGTGGGGTCCTCTTGGGGCAACTCTTTTTCCATTGTTGTGCAGAGAGTCCAAAAGGTTGGACACCTTATTAGATGTTACCTCTACTGCCTCACCATCTGCTTTAAAGGTAGAACTCTTTAGCAGTTCAAATGATTTTTGGATCTGTGAGCTGAATATACCTGACTTTATGGTACACAATAGATGGAGTACTTTAAGCCTGTTGAGCCTTTCTGTAGAACATACTCAGGCTATGATTCCAGAAAATGCAGGCAAGTCTCTGAATAGAGAGTTCAGAGAAATCTCAAGGGTGGAAGAACATACATGGCTAATGTCATTTAAATGTACTGCCTACTCTGGAATTCTTTTAGATCTCCACCATGGTGGAATTTCATTCCTATTTTTTTTCTCTTGCTTTATTTAGGAATACAAGATGCAAATACACCTTTTTTTGCATACTTTATTCATCCTTAGTGGCAACATGAAAAGGGCCTAGTGGTTTAGTCATAATTTAGTTATTTCTTTTCTCTTAAGTAGAAAAACTACTTGGCAACTATCAGGAAGTCCTGGCCTAGGACCCTTTTAACAGCAGCCTACATTATTCTCTCAGAATATAAAAATGAGTGGGTGGATAAAAACCTAAAGACAGCTTGTTGAGAATTGAATATTTTTCTTTGGAACAAATGATAGTCAGTTAGCACAAGGTCTAATGAATATGGTAAATTAGATCATTTTCAAGTCTATCTTCTGAAGTTTGAGCAACATGTTGTCAAGCATTGTTTTGCAAGAGGATTGGCTTGTCTCTGTTAACCAATCTTGGCTGTTTAATCACAAGCATTATCATCATTTTGTCCAACGAGTTGCAATAGATGTCTGCTGTAGTCATTTGACCAGGTTTTATGAAGCTAGAGTGGATAATCCCCAGTGGTGGGCCACCAAACAGACATCATTAACATTTTTTCACGAACATTTGTTGGGCTGTGTTTTCCTTCATCTTTATCCAACCATTGTTCTGAATGCTTGCAATTGGCAAGAAGAATCCATTTTTCATCATTTGTAACAATACACTGTAGAAATGGTTCACTTTTGTGTTGTTATAGTAAAGCAAGCTTTGAAACAATTTCTCTTCTGATGTCTGTTTAATTCCTATGGAACCCATATATCCAGTTTCTTTACCTTGCTGATTTATTTTAAATAGTCCAATATAGTTGGAATAGTAATGTCTTCCTTGCTCTTAATTCATGTATACATTGAGATGGATTCACTTACACTATAGTTTTTAGCTTGTTATTATCCACCTTGGTTTCAAGTTGCCACATGGCTTATTTTCAAGATTAAAATGACCAGAATGGCACTTCTTAAGCTATCAGAAGTACTGTTGTGTTCATTAGCCACATGCTTCCCAAACACTATGTTGATATTTCACTTTGTCTGTATTGCATGGTTCCATGCTAGAACTCATATTTGAAAACAACCTGAATTTTTGACTTATCCATGGTTTCACAAAAATTACTTTTAAAAAAATTTGAAAGATAATCACAAGCCAAAACATGAGTTTGAACGAATAAGGATATACCTTCATAATAAAAATAAAATAAGTGTCAAAGTGCAATGTCTGAGATAGCAACCATCAAACTAGTACTTAAGAAAATTGGATGGATATTTCATACTTATTAACCTAATACCTAACAGAGAAGATACCCAGAAAATGTGGCATATCCTACTTGGATGAATCTTAGTGATATTTACCATCCAGAGTTCTAAAGGTAAATATCATTCTGTTTCTTCCTAGGTTTTCCTGACTGTGAAAATTTTGTACCTACCAAATGTAATGGTATTATAACAGACAACAGTCCTCTCTTTGGACTTGATTGTGAAATGGTAAGTGTATTTTTGATTTTTTCATTGAAAAATCTAGTGAAAGATGATTTCTTGAATCTAATGTGCTAGTGAACCAATGCATTCAGTTCTAGTATTCAATTTAAATAGCTGAAAGCAGCTATTCCCATTTTGTAATAGCGTGGATCTGTGTCCTATCTAGGATGAAGTATAAAAATAGCATAAGTTTCCTAACTAGTTGCTATGTTTAATTTGGTCTTTGTACGTTACTGGAGGTTTACTCCTATCCTTCAAACAAATATTTGTTGTTGCTGCCTGGAAGAATTTTGCCTTATCATTGGTTTAGCTTAGTTTTACACATTGAAGATCAAAAGTAGGATTTCCCTGCTTAAGTACCCCTTTTGCTTTATTTTGTCTAGTTTTAGTAAGTCTCCTTTCAAAGAACCTCATCTCAGTACTGAGGAAGTAGTTTCTCAATTCTTTTTTCAAATTTCAGAATATTAGGGGATATACATGTTTTGTTTATGTACTTTGGATTATATAGATTGAGTCAAAGTTATAAGTATGTGCTTCACCTAGGTAGAGTGTACTGTACCTAATAGGTATGAATTTACCCGTACTCTCCTTCTACCTCCCCGCAACTACATTTTCATTGAGATTTCCTTCCATATGTGCCCTCAAGTGTTGATTGATTAGTTCCAATTTGTTACTGAGTACATATGTTTCTCTATTATGATGTTTCACTTAGAAGAATGATTTCTAGGCTGGGCATGGTGGCTCTTGCCTATAATCCCAGCATGCTGGGAGGCTGAGGTGGAAAGGATTGCTTGCACTCGGGAATTTAAGAGTAGCCTAAGTAAGAGCAAGACACTACCTCTACTAAAAAAACAGAAAAATTATCCAGGCATTGTGACGGGTGCCTGTAGTCCCAGCTGTGCGGGAGGCTGAGACAGGAGAATCTCTTGAGCCCAGGAGTTTGAGGTTGCTGTGAGCGAGGCTGAGGCAATTGCACTCTAGCCTAGGGCAACAGAGGGCAACTGTCTCAAAACAAACCAAAAAAAGTAAAAGAGAATGTTTTCCAGTTCCATCTACATTGTCACAAAAGATAGTACATTTACCTGTATTTTTATGACTGAGTAGCATTCCATGGTATGTATATACCACATTTTATTAATCCTTTCATATATTCATGGACACTTGAGTTGTTTCCATGTCTTTTTGATTGTGAATTGTTTGCTATATTTATAAACATTCAAGTGCAGTTCAATTCTTAATAGACTAGCTAAGAGCTAAAGTTTTTTTTTTTTTTTTTTTGAGACGGATCCTCAAGCTATTCCCCTGGGTAGAGTGCCATGGCATCACACTCACAGCAACCTCCAACTCCTGGGCTCAAGCGAGTCTCCTGCCTCAGCCTCCCAAGTAGCTGGGACTACAGGCGCCGGCCACAACACCTGGCCATTTTTTGGTTGCAGCCATCGTTGTTTGGCGGGCCCGGGCTGGGGATTCGAACCCGCCACCTTAGGTGTATGTGACTGGCGCCTTAGCCGTTTGAGCCACAGGCGCCGAGCCAGAGCTAAAGTTTTAGAGTCTAACATGTATGTATGTCTTGGTTTTGCCTGTTAGCAGCTACTGGACAGATCCCCTAATCTCCCTCAGCCTTAGCTTCTCCCTAAGTCTACCTCAAAAGATTATTATGAGCTGATATATATTGTTTAGTACAGCACTAGATCTTAATAGAATGGACTTATAAATATTACCTATTAGTGGTACTTAGCATAATACCTGATGTAGTATACCCTCTATAAATGCTAGATGCAATTATGATTATCATCTTCCCTGAGCACATTATTTTCAGAGAAATTACACTGTGTTGATTTTTCTTAAGTTTAACGTTCAGCAGCCTAGGTGCCTAGCATTATTTTCATTCATACTTAGTAAGCAAAAGTCTGTGCTATTGTTGGAAGTACCCTAGTAGATAAGGATAGGTGACAGCTGACATAGTGTGAATAATGAGAGGAAGTAATAGCTTCTAGAGTTCAATAGTCTGACTGTATCCTGGTCTTTTCAGTGCCTCACATCCAAGGGGAGAGAATTAACACGAATCTCACTAGTTACTGAAGGAGGTTGCTGTATTATGGATGAACTGGTTAAACCTGACAACAAGATTTTGGACTACCTCACTAGGTATTTTTCCCCTTGTCTCTAACTCACCTGAGAGCTGTCTAACTAGAATGGAGTAACACTCAACAGAATGGTCCAGAGCTTTTGGTTAGTTAGGTTTTATGTACTTAAATATTATAAAAGGCTGAGGCAACACATCAATGTATTTTAATACTGAAATTGCTCAGTATCAGTATACAGGGTGGCCATAATGTTCATGTGCATTTTAAAATGGTATGCAATTTAAAATTGCACATAGACTTCATGGCCACCCTGTATAATGTTCTTGTTCTCTAATCTTCTTGTGACCTTTTGGCAGAATATTCTCTTTCTTGCTCTAGGATCTCCCAGTTACAATCATTATGTAGTAACTACCGTGCAGCTGGAACTTTGCTTTCTGATAAGACCTTATCTAAAAATCTGTAAATTATCATGTGCCTTGACCCTAAAAAGGAAGGAAATAAAACCCTAATTTTTCCCATAAGAGAAATTTGAAGCTCAAATTCTTTATTTTTCCAAAGATTAGAATGTATTTCAGAATATACACACAATGGCCCCTCTAGGCAAAGAGCCATTGAAGTTGCATCTATAAAGCTATGCTTACTCAGGCATAGAGAGGCTATGATAATGATAAAGATTATCCTGTTAGGAGGCTTAATAGGTAGCATTTTTAGGGGACAGTCATGTGTGGCAAAGATGTATGTATAAGCATGTTTGTCACAGTATGGGAATATAAAAAAACAGGAATATAATAAATGTCTCAAAGAAGAGGATTAGTTAAAAAATGCTATATCCATAAAATGGAATATTATGTGACCATTTAAAAGGATGTCTTAAAATAGATTTGCTGATGTGAAAACTTGTGATGTATTGCAAATGATAGGCTCATATTATCAAGTAGTACCTACATTATGATTGCATTTTATAAAAATAGGCATAAATATATAAGTATCAAAAATATGGAAGGATATTTACAAAAATGTAAAAAGTGCTCATCTCTGAGAAGTAGGATTATGGCTAATTTTCTCTTATTTGTATTTTCAATCTTTTTGACATTAAGCATAAATTAAGTATAATTTTAAAAATACTCTTTTGGAAATGACTTTCCAGGTAAGAAAACTTTTTACATAGCCAGGCGTTGTGTTGGGTGCCTATGGTCCCAGCTACTTGGGAGGCTGAGGCAAGAGAATCACCTAAGCATAAGAACTGGAGGTGCTGTGAACTGTGACGCCATGGCACTGTACTGAGGGTGACAAAGTGAGACTCTGTCTCTAAACAAAAAGGAAAAAAGGAAAGAAAACTTGTTACTATCTCTTCATTTCTCTTTTTTATTGAAAGCTTTTCAGGAATCACGAAGAAGATTCTTAACCCAGTGACAACCAAACTTAAAGATGTACAGAGGCAGTTAAAAGCATTGCTTCCTCCTGATGCTGTGTTAGTGGGCCACTCCTTAGACTTGGATCTCAGAGCCTTGAAAGTGAGTATCTGATTTAGGACTTTATTTGTAGTTTCTGCTATAAATGCCTGTTCCATTTATCTCAAACCTAAACAGTGGGCTCTTCAACCTTCTAGCCCAATTATTTTTTACTTTAGCATAAGATGCTATTCATTTTATTCTCTTTCTTCCTCAGATGATACATCCATATGTTATTGATACATCATTGCTTTATCTCAGAGAACAGGGCAGAAGATTTAAGCTAAAGTTCTTAGCCAAAGCTATTTTGGGGTAGGTTTGTTTACATATTATAATATTGTCCTGACAAATCACAAGTAAGTTAGCATTATAGTATCTAATGCATATTGCAAAATTTAGGGTCTTTGCTCTCCTCAGTTTAAAACATTCTTTTCATTTCTTATGAAAGAGGTTTACATTCACAGCTGAGGCTTGAAGGCTAGAACTGGAAAGAGAAGGGCAGAAATGTTAACTAGAATTTCAAAATATACCTATATTGAATATATTGTATTGTATAGAAACACACATGCACAGAGATATTCATTTAGCGTGGATTAAAACAGCAAATCAAAAGGCTGGAAATATTCTAGAGGACTGGCTGAATAAATTATAGTTATCTATATTATTGAATGTTTTTGTTCAAAATAATGTGATAATCTGTATGTACTAATATGAAAACCTTTCTAAGATACTACTGAGAAAAAATGGAGATGCAGAGCAAGATCTGTATGTGCTTAGATACTGATATGATATATATTAGATTTAGATATATCTATAGCCATAAATATATGCATATATTTCAAGTTTTTATAAATACCCATGAAAATACTTCAGTACATATAGACACTTGTGTACAAATAGAAAATTTCTGGAAGGTAACTTTAAATAGTGGTTACATATAAAAAAATGAGTGAAGGGCTGGCTCAGGAGTTGGCCAGAGACTTTTGCTGGGTAGCCTTTTGTCTAGATGATATGCAAGCTGTGGACAAAGCTGTTTCTGAGTGTTCAGCTTCTCTAGCACCTCTCTCAGTGCCTGGCAATTACCTGGGATAAAGGAATCTTGATTGCTATGATACGAATCAGTTATCAGAATGCTAAATTTTTACATGTAACCAGAACATTGGAGGTGTGTGAAAGAGTCTGTCGTTAAAAATGTTCCCAATCGTGAATTTTATCTTGACTTTCCAGGAAGAATATACAGTGTCCAGATAGGCTTGGGCATGATGCTACAGAAGATGCTAGAACGACCCTTGAATTGGCTCGATATTTCCTTAAGTATGGCCCAAAAAAGGTTAGTATCTTTGACTAGTGTATTTGCTATCATTTCCTGTTTTTATCTTCCTTTATAAAAATGAAAATGTGATTGAATTTAGCATGTATTTGCATTAAGATCTATATAACTAGCATAATGTTGTAGTTAAATATATCATCTCTGAAGTCATCTGTTTTTAAATATATATTGTACTCTGTCTAGCTCAGATGTCCTCACACTACAGCCCGCTTAGGACATTTATCCGGCCCGCCGGATGTTTTTGCTGCTGCTGCTTGTCCTGCTTAGCAGCCGACTCGTCCCCAGGGCCCACAGTCCGGCCCTCCAACGATCTGAGGGACAGTGAACTGGCCCCCTGTTTAAAAAGTTTGAGGACCTAGCTGTATAATCTACAATTTCTCTGAACAACTTCAGTTTTTAGATCTTATAAAAATGGGAATACACACTTCTCTGGGATATTTGTGAGGGTAAATGAGGTACTGTATATACAGGTTTTAATATAGTGCCTTGAATATATTAAGTACCACACTGGTGGTGTGATTATTATAGCTAATGCTAATATTTGTAATAATTATTAAAAATCTACATAGATTGTTGCTTTTGAGGGGTAGAGGGAGCATCCCATTGTTTCAATAGCAGTTCAGTGGGTATAGATTACAACAGCACCTGAGAAAGACGTTGAAGAGGATGTAGTTTCTGCCAGACTTTGTTATATACATTATAACATATTAGATTGTCCCACTGAATAATATGTTCCATCATGACTCCATTATGAAACAAATTATAGTTCACATAGAATAATAATCATAGCCAAAATATTATTTTGTATCACAGTGTAGAAAAACATTCTAAAAGATCTTCTAAACATTCTAAAAGATTGGACACATCAATACTAATAGCTATCATTCACTGAGCTGTTCCTACCTGTAACAGGAAGAGCTTCATATACACGGTATTTTTTAATCTTCACAGCAACCTTTTGAGTTAACTATTATCATTCCAGTTTTATACTTGAGCCTTCTGAGGTTACCAGAAGTTAACTAACATCCACAGCTACTCAGATTGAACCATAATTGACACCCAAGTCTGTCAGATTCCAAAGCCTGTCTGCTCTACGTCAGAGTCAGCAAACTTTCTGTAAAGGCCAGATGGTAAATACTTTAGGCTCTGTGGGCCACGTTGTCTTTATCATAACTATTCAACTTGGTATGATAATGCAAAAGCAGCCATAGTGGGTCAATGGGCACAGCTGAGTTTCAGTAAAACTATTTATGAATTTGTTCAGAGTATTAAATAAAAGGAACCCTTTATATATTACATTATATTAGCACAAATAACTATTTTTTTTTTTTTTTTTTTGAGATAGGGTTTTGCTCTGTTGCCCAGATTGGCCTCTTAACTCCTAGACCTAAGCAGTTCTCCTGTCTCAGTCTCTGAAGTAGCTGGAACTATAGGTATATAGCACTATATATGGCTACAAATAACTTTTTTTTTATGGAAAAAACATTTTCCTTAAAAATTAGTGGGAAGAACATCAGCGTTTTACATATTTGGCAAAGCTCTTTAATGTCTGTCTAATTTAAGAGAAGGCGGGTTGGCTGGATGCAGTGGCTCACACCTATCATTCTAGTACTCTGGGAGGCCAAGGTGAGAGGATCATTTGAGCTTAGGAGTTTGAGACCAGCCTGATCAAGAGGGAGACCCTGTCTTTACTAAAAAATAGAAAAATTAGCCAGGCCCTGATGGCATAAGCCTGTAGTCTTAGCTATTTGAGAGGCTGAGACAGGAAGATTGCTTGACCCCAGGATTTGAGGTTGTTGTGAGCTAGGCTGAGGCCATGGGACTCTAGCCTGGGGAAACAGTTTGAGACTCTGTCTGAAAAAAAACAAACAGGGTGGCGCCTGTGGCTCAAAGGAGTAGGGGACCGGCCCCATATACCAGAGGTGGTGGGTTCAAACCAGGTCCCGGGCCAAAACTGCAAAAAAAAAAAAAAGAGAGAGAGAGAAAGCAGATAACTTTTCAAATCTGCTTTATGTTCAATCTCTTGAGTTATGTAGTTGGAGAAAAAAGGACTCCATAAACCCCTTTGAAAGGGTGGTTCTCAAACCATGCTTTGAGGACTTAACGCTTGATTTCTATTGTAACAAATAAATTTTGGTTAAAAACTAATGAAATATAAATTAAGCATGTACTTTAGTAAATACAGATATTAATGTATCATGATCAGTTCATTCATTTTGAGTAAATACTAATAGCATACTAATCTGTTAAAATCTGTTACAAATAGGTGAAAATGAGTGTAGGGTATATGGGAAATCCCTGTACTAGCTTTGCAAATTTTCTGTAACTCTAAAATGATTCTTAAAGTTTCTTTTAAAAAGGTTTTAATTTTTAAAATTAAAAATTTTTTTTTTTTTTTTTTTTTTTTTTTGAGACGGAGCCTCAAGCTATCCCCCTGGGTAGAGTGCCGTGGCATCACACTCACAGCAACCTCTAACTCCTGGGCTCAAGCGAGTCTCCTGTCTCAGCCTCCCAAGTAGCTGGGACTACAGGCACCCGCCACAACGCCTGGCCATTTTTTGGTTGCAGCCATCATTGTTGTTTGGCGGCCTGGGCTGGGGATTCGAACCTGCCACCTTAGGTGTATGTGGCTGGCGCCTTAGCCACCTGAGCCACAGGCGCCGAGCCAAAATTAAAAATTTTTAAATTAAAATTAATGCACATCACAACTTTCCCACTTTATAGAAGAAGAAATATCAACTGAAATAGACTGTAATGGTTTTGTATTAAACTAACAAGTAGTCTCTTTTGATGTTGCTAGAAAAGCCATTCTTTTCTCATTTCTAAAAGGTGCATGCTTTCAAAGTAGTAAATTTTAAGTAACTATGAATGAGTGGTGAACCACAATTGCCATCCCTTTCAATTAGCTATTTTTGGCCTTATTAGTAGCTGGTAACAGATTGCCATTGTTGGCTAAGCAACCAGAAACCATCTGGTAGCTATTAAAGCCAGTACTGTGGCAATGCCACTGTCTAAAAAAATAGAGGCAGTAGTTGGTGGATTGGGCAGGGGATGTTTTTTATTTCTTTTAATCTCACTCAAATACTTTGTAAGAAATTAGATGATTTTTACCACTTCATTCAAGATTGCAGAATTAAATCTGGAGAGACTAGCTAGTCACCAAGAAATGCAAGCAGCAGGCCAAGAGCCAAAAAATGCAACAGAAATAGTTCAGCGCTCAAATACAAGGTAATATTTTTCCGTTCTAAACAAGAGCAAAGGCAAACGCAGTGTCTGGTTTCTTATTTAACAGTAATTTCTTGGAATTTATTTTTCCTCTTTTTGAGTTTATTGAGAATATTTACCAAAAATATGAATAACATTTATCTCAAAAACCATGAGAGGAGTATACCACCTTCTGGCCTAAACAGTGTTTAAATTCTAATTTTCTGAATCTAGTGACTGATTTTAAATGACATCCTTTACAGAAAAATAAATAAGACATTGGACTATATTGAACCTCTGGTCAAAAGAATCAATCTATAGCCTTGATGTATCGCTTTGGGGGGTTGGCAAAAAAACAGATTTAAAAGGGGTTTGGCTCCTGATCATAATGAATGTATCAGGTCTTTAGAATCTGGCCTAAACTTTGATAGAAAGCCTGATGGTATATTTCTGTCACTGTCAAATATAATTTTCTATATCCATGCTGCTTAGTTTGGTACTTACTAGTCACACATGACTAATGCAATTTTGAAACTAAATTTTTAATTTTATTTAATTGTAATGTTAATAGCTATGTGTTATGAGTGACTACCATATTGAACAGTACAGGTATAGAGAAATAATTATTAGGCTGTGGAAACTATTGTTCTTACCTTAGCTCTTCTCCATTTTTAGTGTTTTAGAATGCTTGGATTCAATGGGCCAGAAGCTCCTTTTCTTGGCCCGGGAGACAGAAGCTGGTGAACTTTCTTCTTCCAAAAACTGTCGAACTATTAGGTGCCTTTCAAATAAAGAGGTGAGTGGCCTGCTGTACCTTTGCAGGTTATATCCAAAGCACAGGAGGATTTAATCCTTTGCACTCCATGAAAGTGTTAAGCTTTTCATTTCTGGCTAGCATTTTTAAGTCTGGCTTCTGTCTTACATCTTGTATGGAGCATTCTAAGTCCCTTAGGTGCAGAACTGTCAGCTGCCAATGTCTGTTTCCAAGGCCCAGCAGGACTGAGGCTTTGCTCTTGCATATACCACCTTGAATTTCCTATTATGTTTCTGGTTCATGGAAAATGTTTTTTTTTTTTGAGACAGAGCCTCAAGCTGTCGCCTTGGGTAGAGTGCCATGGCATCACAGCTCACAGCAACCTCCGACTCCTGGGCTCAAGCGAGTTTCCTGCCTCCACCTCCTAAGTAGCTGGGATTACAGGCGCCCACCACAACGCCTGGGTATTTTTTTGGTTGCAGACATCATTGTTGTTTAGTGGGCCTGGGCTGAATTCGAACCCACCAGCTCAGGTGTATGTGGCTGGTGCCTTAGCCGCTTGAGCCACAGGCGCCGAGCCCATGGAAACGTTTATCTTGGTTTTAAGCCTGCCTATATCTTTCTGGTTTTTTCTTTTTATATTTTAACTATCACTTCTGTATGTGTAAAGCAAAGAGGATGCATCAAAACTTGATCATATTGCATATATTGTCATTATGTGCAGATTTTTTAAAAAGTTTTATTTGCAAATTTATTTAAAAATTGCATAAATGGTAAACTACCTCACCTGTATACATTCTATCTAGATTAACCTTTTATTAATACTCTGCCCCATTTGTTTTATTCTTTTATGTGTGCTCATATGTTTGTCTTTTGCTCATGCTGACTCACTCTCTCCCTCTTGTATCCCTTCCCACTCACTCTTTCTTTTTCTCTTTACATACAGAATTTCCTGAACTATTTGAAAGGATGCACATATCATGGGCCTTTACCCCTAAATACATCAGTGTGTATTTCATAAGAATAAAAATATTCTCTTACATAATCAGAGTATAGTTATCAACTTTAGTAAATTTAATATTGACTAGGACTTTTCTCTACTTTTTATCCGTACTCTTGTTTTGTTGACCAACTTATGTCCTTTGTAGCGTTTCTTTTCAGAACAGTATCCATTCTAAGGTCTTGTGTTGCATTTTGTTGACATATCTTTTTAGTCTTTCTCTATTCTTTCTTTTTTTGTTCATTCCATTCTTTTATCTACCTGTTAGATAAATATTTGCTGCAAATGCAGTCATTATGGGTCAGTCCTTCAGCTGGCCTTTGGGGATTTCCAGCTGTTTCCACCCTTAGTGAGTTTCCATTTTGTGTGGATATCAGCTTGTTAGCAGATAATTATAAACTAATATGGTTAGAACACTGATAGAAATATTACCTTTAGAAAAGCCACAGTTAGACCTCACGCTTGAATTCTCTTGAGGAATATTGTCATGGGTCGATCATAAGTGTATCCTTCACTTAGATGGGACATGGTCAGAATAAACTCAGTTTTCCTTAGAATCACATTATTTTTTGTTTCTTTCATCTTTGGATATTAAATGAACTTTCATTGGAATGTTTTCCAAGTTGTACTTTTTTGGGTCTCTTTTATTTGCAATTAACCATAAAACTTTTAATGGCTTAAACAAACAAACAAAAAAAACGGCTTTACTGACTCAGGTAACTTCATTTTGGGCCTCACTCATGGTTCTGTTGGTTTGGATTAAATCTTGGTTCCCCCAAGTCCAGGGAAAATGAAGCTGTTTTTTGCCAAGACTTCCAACCAGTGTCTTAGGCCTGAATTTCTGTGGCTCCTCCCCTTTGCCTTCAATATCAATCATTAGGGATTAAGTGGAAGAACCTGAAATCCACTGCACACACTATACTTCACCTTTCTCTGCCTTAAATCCAACAAGACTTACTTCAATTTGGTCCTTAACCTCATTTATGCTCATCACCACAGAATTCTAAGGATTCTACACACCCCTTGTTTTATCACCTTTTCTTAGTCTTTATGCCCTCAGGAACTCACAATCCACTATCTGCAGAACTGTCTATAAATAACCTAAGCTCTCAAAATTACCATCATCTTCTTGGTAAAGAACACTGGGCCCTTCCTCCTTCCCCTGCAGACCTCTTAACAGTAGGAGAAAACTGTCCAACCTCCAACAGATCTACTACTAGCTTCAAAGTTGGGATAAGTTTTCTTATTCCTCCTCATTATTGTATGTGGACCAGTCTTCTTCCCTCTCTAAAAATGAGCCTTAGAGCTCATACCATTTGATTACTTCATCAGCTGGTCTTCATTGCTATTATCTATTGATACCCAAGCCATTCCATTTTCTTTCTCAATTATTGTAGCTCTCTCGCAATACTACTTTTGCCTTAATTCTTGGCAAATTCTATATACTTTTAGATAACATTTCTTTTTTTTTTTTTTTTTTGAGGCAGAATCTCAAGCTGTGACCCTGGGTAGAGTGCTGTGGCATCACAGCTCACAGCAACCTCAAACTCTTGGGCTTAAGCGATTTTCTTGCTTCAGCCTCCCAAGTAGCTGGGACTACAGGCACCTGCCACAGCACCTGGCAATTTTTTGTTGCAGTTGCCATTGTTGTTTGGCAGGCCGGGGCTGGACTCGAACCTGCCAGCTCCAGTGTATTTGGCTGGTGCCCTGGCCGCTTGAACTACAGGCGCCAAGCCTCAGATAATGTTTCTAATACTGCAGTCTCTCAGTTTATCTCCATCAGCTACTAACTCTATGATTTGTAGAGTCCAGCCTTTGTCATTAATGATCATTACAAGTCCTGCATCATCTCAATTGTATGCCACCCTTTCTTTGGACCACTATCAGCTAATTTTCTAGCTTATTACCTCTAATACTTCCATCTCAGCAATCCACCAAAATATTCCATCCATTTATGTTCCAAACTTTGTCCAGGTTTATCCACTCTATGTTCTTACTTTCTTCCCTATTATGTTAAATTTCATAATTCATGACTTGATCATTCCCTGCATTGTCCCTGAATCATTTTCTTGTTCCCTTATACTCAAATTGGCAAAGCCAAAGCCTAATTAAATCCAATTCTCTACAATTCTTTTCTTCTACCTGTATAGCAGAAGGAAGGAAATAACTATGTTGGCTAGTTTCACTTTCAATTCATGACCACAGACCTTAGTTTAGTCCTTATATTATCAGCCAGTTATACATAGGCTATATTCCTACTTAACTTACTGTCCTTGAAATCTATTTCATATCTTCTCATGTCTTCTCAAACTAACACTTTTTTTGTTATTGAGACAGAGTTTCACTATGTTGCCCTCAGTAGAGTGCTATGGTGTCACAGCTCACAGCAACCTCAAACTCTTGATCCCAAGCGATTCTCTTAGCTCAGCCTCCCAAGCAGCTGGGACCACAGGCGTCTGGCTATTTTTTTGTTGCAGTTGTCATTGCTGTTCAATTGGCCCGGGCCAAGTTCAACCCACCACCCTCAGTGTATTTTGGCCAGTGCGATAACCACTGTGCTACAGGTGCTGAGCTTCAAACTAACACTTTTATCTATTTATTTACTTATTTGGTTATGGGTGCATGTGTTTTGGTTACATGAATTGCTTTTATACAGTTTGAATCAAAGTTATAAATGTGCCCATCACCTGGATAATGTGCATATTACTCATTAGGTGTTTAGTTTCCTTCTTTAGTTGTCTTTATTATTTTTATTTATTTTTAATCTTTCATTTTTTTAAATCATAGCTGTGTACATTAATGCATTTATGGGGTACAATGTGCTGGTTTTATATACAATTTGAAATACTTGCAACAAACTGGTTAATATAGTTTTCACTGCACTTTCTTAATGTGTTTTGACATTTAATACTCTTTGCTTAGTAGATTTGACATGTACCCTTGTATGACATGTACCCTTGTAAAATGCACCATAAGTGTGGTCTGACCAGTTACCCTCCCTCCACCTATTATCCCCCGTCCTCCCCTTCCTCTTCCCCCTTCATCTTGGGCTGTAGTTGGGTTATAGCTTTCATATGGAAGAGTGGTTGATTATATATTGGTTTCATAGTAGAGCTGAGTACATTGGATACTTTTTCTTCCATTCTTGAGATATTTTACTAAGAAGAATATGTTCCAGCTCCATCCATGTAAACATAAAAGAGGTAAAGTCTACATCTTTTTTAAAGCTGCATAATATTCCATGGTGTACATATCCCACAATTTATTAATTGTGGGTCAATGGGCACTTGGGCTTCTGCCATAACTTAGCAATTATGAATTGGGCTGCAATAAACATCCTGGTGCAAATATCTTTGTTACAAAATGATTTTTAGTTTTATGGATATATACTATGTTTCCCTGAAAATAAGACCTACCCCCCAAATAAGCGCTAGCAGGATTTCTATGCATTTGTTAAATATAAGCCCTACCCCGATAATAAGACCTAGTGATGGGTCACTTCAGCGCAGAGGGTAAGATATCCCTTGAAAATAAGCCCTAGTGTGTCTTCTTGAGAAAAAATAAATATAAGACAGTGTCTTATTTTCAAGGAAACATGGTACGTAGTAGTGGAATTGTAGGATCAAATTGCAGGTCTAATTTTAGATCTCTAAGTGATTTCCAAACTTCTTTCCAAAAGGAACATATTAGTTTGCATTCCCACCAGCAGTGCAGAAGTGTTCCCTTTTCTCCACATCCACTCCAACATCTATAGTTTTGAGATTTGTTATTTGGGCTACTCTTACTAGAGTTAGATGATACCTCAAAGTGGTTTTGATTTGCATTTCTCTGATGATTAAAGGATGATGAGTATTTTTTCATGTGTCTGTAGGCCATGCGCCTGTCTTCTTCAGAGAATTTTCTATTCAAATCTCTTACCCACAAAGAGATGGGATCACTTGTTCTTTTCTTACTAATACCTTTGAGTTCTATATGGATTCTGGTTATCAAACCTTTATGAGAGACATAACCTGCAAATATCTTTATTCTCACTGGATAAAAGATTTAAACTTAAGACATGGAACTATAAAAATACTAGAAGAGAGTACAGGGAAAACACTTGAAGGAATCAGCCTGGGAGAATATTTTATGAGGAATAACCCCCAGGGCAATTGAAGCAACACCAAAAATACATTACTGGGACCTGATCAAATTAAAATGCTTCTGTACAGCCAAGAACACAGTAAGGAAAGCAAGCAGACAGCCTTTAATCTCCTTTAATCTGGAACCCTTCTTCAACCTTTATTTTTCTTTTTGTCTTTCATGACATTGTGGCATGATCCTTGCTCATTGCAACCTTGCGCTCCTGGGCTCAAGTGATCCTCTTGCCTCAGGCTCCCAATTACAGCCCGGTACCACCATACTTACTGATTTATTTTTTAATTTTTTGTAGAGATGAGGTCTGGCTATATTGCTCAGGCTGGTCTCTAACTCCTGGCCTCAAGCAGCCCTCCACTTTGACCTCCCAAAGTGCAAGGATTATAGGTGTGAGCCACCACATCTAGTCCTACATATTTTTTGTGGGATACATGCCCCTCCTTCCCTTTCTTTTTTCTTTGAGATAGAGTTTCACTTATTCACCCTTAGCAGAGTGGCATAGCGTCATAGCTCTCAGCAACTTTAAACTCATGGGCTCCTCTTGCCTCAGCCTCCCAAGTAGCTGGAACTACAGGTGCCTGCCACAGTGCCCAGCTAGTTTTCTTCTATTTCTAGTGGAGACATGGGCTCACTCTTGCTTGGACTAGTCTGAAACCTCTGAGCTCAGGCGGTCCACCTGTCTTGGCCTCCTAGAGTACTAGGATTACAGGCATAAGCCACTGCCGCCACCCCCCCTCCCTTTTTTAATAGTATGCCTTATTTGGGGTTTGTGTGCGTTTCCTCATTCCTCATGATTAGATTCAGATGATGCATTCTTAGCAAATGGATGTTAGTGATGAGTCTTTTTCAAGGTGTTGAAATAACTTAGGGGACCTGGAAAAATAGACTCTAACCCCCACTTAGGTTAATTAATTGGTAATTTATTTTACCTGCTGCAGGGGCTGCTGCTCCAAGAGACAGTCAGCACCCGGTGAGAGTGTGAGTTACCTTTTATAGGCTTTGTGTAAGCATATTACAGACGTGAAACGTGGCTGGTTAAGGGGGGTTACAATTCAGGTACTCATAGATACAGCAATGGAACAATAATTAATACAGTTTCAGTTGACAATGGATACATTTCTTATCACAATGGTTATGGTTATACAACAGTAATTAATCAAGTCTCAGTGAGTTTTCCACCATTGTTCATCTACTGAGAACTTGGGGGTTTTGTGAAACTTGGAACTTTTACCTGAAGCTTGTTCTTGGCAACCCTAGGGGGAAGAAGGGGGCCTGGGAAAGTGGCTGGGAAGCTCATTCTTGGCCACCCTGGGGGGAGGAGGGACTTGCCTTGTTCCTGGAGTCGACTCTGGGGGGAGAAGGGAGGAGGAGGGAAATAGGCTGGAGAGGACAGGGGGAACTGGTGAGGGTGGTGGTGGGGAGAACAGGTGAGGGCTGGGGAACAGGAGTGGGCAGGGGAAAGAGGGCTGGTGGGTTACAACAGTGTTATATCCAGAGGCACTTATTTACCTGCTATTTTTTTTTGCTGTGAATTTTTGATTGCCTGGTTAAAGTGTCTGCTTTTTCCACTGCAGAGTTCTTACTTTTCCCCCCCTTAATTCTAGTAAGTAATATGTGGGGAGATACTTTAAGGACATAAAAATGTCCTGCTTTTTATCAAAATTATCCATCAGTATTTAGAAAAATTTGCTGATGTGATGTTTACAAACTAATGGTTTTCGATCTCTAGTGTATACGTACCAGTTGTTACTCAGGATTCTGTAATCAAGAATCCTCCTTTTGCCCCATTTATTCATTCAGTCATTCAAGGTACACTAGTATATTCCTGTTTTTTTTTAATGGTTTATAATTCATAATTATACTGTTTTTTTGGTTTTCAAATTTCCCAAATTTGGCTAGTGGGGCCTCTTTCAATCTAGCTCCTTTGTCCTTGTGACCTGCACTCATTTTGTTAAGAATGTTCTTATTTTCTGCACAAGTTATTCAAGGTCATCTTGGTGTCAGAAAGCAAGACCAGCTGTGCAGATTGCTGCAGGATATCCTTGCTTCTAGATCCTTTAAGCAAACAGAGTTAAGAAATTACATACATACACACACACATAAATATATATGTACACACATACACGCATTTTACAAATCCTATGTTTATACCAGTATCTGTCAGTTCTGCCCGTTTATAGAGGGATCTTCTTTGCTTCCCCTCGTTCCATATTTCTATCTCCTTTTTCCACATTGGGAATATTGGTTCCCCAAAATAGCATTTATTCATTAGCGCAAACCTAAACTATATCCAAGTTAGTCTTAAATGTCATGACCCTTATTGCCATAGAATGATTTTAGAATTTGTTTTATAGTTTTACCCTCCTCTCCCCTGACTCTGACCCCCCCCCCCTTGACTCTTGACTTAAGGGCAATGGTACATGAATATTTTATTTATAAGTTACCCAGATTCTTTTTACCTTCCCTCTCTTAAGATTAGCTCTTTTATGCATTTCAAACACATTGCAGGTGTAGTGGCTCATGCCTGTAATCCTAACACGCTGGGACGCTAAGGTGGATGGATTGCTAGAGTTCCTGGGAGAACAGCCTGAGCAAGAGTGAGACCCTGCCTGTACTAAAAATAGTAAAAACTAGCCAGGTTTGGTGGTGCATGCTTGTAGTTCTGCTACTTGGGAGGCTGAGGCAAGAGGATCAGTTGAGCCCAAGAGTTTGAGGTTGTGAGCTATGATGATGCCATGACACTCCACCCAGAGTGACAGAGGGCAACTCTGTCAGAAAAACACCAAAGACAGTTTGGTTTATTGGTTTCAGTTTGCTTCTTCGGTTTTTTGTTTTTTTATCTGCTTCCATCCTTATAAATTTAATTTAAACTTTTGGATCTGTAAAACATTAACATATTTCCACCGGATAAAACTTTACAAAAACGTATACTTAAAAGAAGTGTCATTCCCTCTCCTGTTTAATCTAATCCTACTCCCCCATCCCTGTTTTTGTAAGTAAATAACTTTCTTTTATGATTTGTCTTTCCATTGTTCCTTTTTTTGTTAAAGATAAGTAGATCTATGTATGCATTCTTATTTCTTTCTGTTACATACACAAAAGGTAGGAAACTATATAAGCTTTGGTAGTTGGCTTTTTTTCCCTTAACAGTATATCCTGGAAATGAAACAGTATCCATTTATATGGATCTTCCCTGTTTATTTCAGCTACGTGATTTTATTTCTCCTTTTTCCATTCTTATGTGTCCTTTTTTTTTTTTCAAAACACTAAGGCTAATGCATCCAGAAGAATGTCAGCTGAGGTTATTGATTTCACACTGTTCTTTTCTACTGTATTTAGAGGTGTAAATTCCCCTCAAAGTTCTACTTTAGTTGCATCCTATAAATACTGAACACAAGTTCACAAAATTAAACACAACTTGTGTTATCAGTATTTAATTTCTTTCCATTTAAAATACTTTTTAAACTTTCTTTTGAATTCCTTTTTGAACTTTTTATTTTGTGATTTTTCTTCAGATCTGGGAATTGACCATATATTACTTTTTTTTTTAATGCTCTCAGTAATATCACTATATTACTTTTTAATATAGTTAAAAGGACAACTATTATTTTTACTATTGTGGCTCATTTTCAGGAACCACAGTAAAGTACAAAGTTTCTCCCTTATCTAGGCTGTGCTGTTTTCTACAGGTTCTTGAGCAGGCTAGAGTGGAAATCCCCTTGTTTCCCTTCAGCATTGTCCAGTTCTCTTTTGAGCCCTTTTCACCCATTCTCACTGAGGAGATGAACAAGAGGGTAAGTGGATGAGTACTGCTGAATGATTTATTTAATGATTATTACATGCTTTGTTATATTTATTATGTGTTTTGCTAAATTATTTCTATGTGTATATTAACATTAAATATATTTTTACAAAAATGGGAATCAGACTACATACTGCTTTACAACTTTAGTTTTTCATCTAATAGTATATCTTGTATATATCTTTCCATGTTACTATATATCTTATTTCCCTTATTTTTCATGGCTGCATAGTTTTCCACTGTGTAGTATATCTTTTTTTTTTTTTTTAATGTGAGCTGTCACACAGCTCACAGCAACCTCCAACTGCTGGGCTTAGGTGATTCTCTTGCCTCAGCCTCCTGAGTAGCTGGGACTATAGGCTTCTGCCATAATGCCTGGCTATTTTTTTGTTGCAGTTTGTCTGGGGCCGGATTTGAACCTGCCACCCTCAGTACTATGGGGCCTGCACTCCACCCACTGAATCACAGGTGCCGCCCTTTTTTGCGGTTTTTGGCTGAGGTTTGAACCCACCACCTCCTCCATATGGGGCCGGCACCGTACTCCTTTGAGCCACAGGCACTGCCCTTAGTATATCTATTATTGATAGCATTTGTTCTTTATAATTTTTGCTATAATAAATAATACTGCAGTACACATTGTATATTTGACAAGTATTTATGTCAAAAAAAAATTCTTAGCTCAACCGGCTAAGGCGCCAGCCACGTACACCTAAGGCGGCGGGTTCAAATCCCCAGTC